GTATATCTAATTCTCGAATGAATCTTTTACGAAGGCTTAACAATAGTCTATAAATGTATCGACTACTTTATCCTTAGATAATAAACCTCTTTTGACTCTTCTTCTCTCCAGCAACAATAAAAAAAAACAGTAATCCCATAAAAATGTTCATTTAAATAAAATAAATTATTATGATTTAAAACTAAGACTTCTGCTCTTGTGCTCTATAAGAAGAGTTTTCGTTCTGAAAAAATAATTGTTCTTTTTACGGTAAACATTGTCCGAAATGATCTCTACAACCTACACTCAGTTAGTGCAAAGACGAGCAAATGCTTCTGGACTGAGATAGAAGTCTGCAAAAAGGCTTTCGTGATTTATGTCACAGAAGCACTTGGAAAGAAAAATAAAGATATATTTGGAATCAGTCTGAAAAATTGCATCAAATGATGTATCATTTGTTAATTTTTAAAATGAAAAGTTTTCTCATAGGAGCTTAGAGTAAGGATTGCCCTCAAGAATTTTTCATCAATCATATTTTTGAGTACAGAAAACTAAGATTTCTATGAAAAAAGTTCGTTTTCGATAGAAATTGCTCACAGTAAATTTTGTCATGGTCATATTCACAAATCAAAGAGGATCATTGTTTATGACTTGTTTGTTCATTAAGATTTAATATTTACAGATTATATTTGCATATCTATGTCGTCTTATTTATCATAATATGTTTTTTTTTGTATGACAAGACATTGCCATGAAAATAATAACTTGATTGATGGTCTATGAAAAACTTTTACTTGATAAATCGCAGAGTTAAGAGTATCATATAGTATCGGATTCCAGTCTTGCATGTGTATTGCTGACCTATATTATTATTATTACTATATGAAAGCACTAAGAGTGCACTTAATTAGCTTGAGATATTACCTTCTCGATATCGAATGTAATCACTTTGATAAATAACCCGAAAATTAGGTTGAATGAATATAAGTTCAGAAATAGCAAAATATAATATTAATCCTTCAACCGAATGAACTTGGTTTGATAAAATTGTGCTTACAGTATTGTATAGACTAATCTTCTTTGTATGGTTAATACGAATTAGAAATGAATTTTTCCTTTATAGTCAAAAATTGAAGTAGTCAATGACTTAGATGCAATCTACAATTTGGTGAAACATTAGCGTTGATAATAAAATCGGTCTGACGTTTCAGAAATTTCTGCGTGTGTGAATCTTTTCTCAACTCTAGCCGCACACATCCTCAAAATAATGAACGAGGGTTAACAAATTTTTATTAAAATAGCGAAGAAATAAAAGTCAATTTTTCTATTTTTTTTAGGAAAAACGATGCTAAGGATGTCTGTGAAGCTGGCTGTAAAGATCCATTACTACATTCACTACACCTTTCTCTGGAAGAACATCGGTAAATTCGGCAGAATGCTCTCGATCATTTCCTTCTTCAGGAATTTAAGTATAGTACAAAAATAAGTTAGATACGCTATGTATCCTATCGCAGGCTATTCGAAATTTTCCATGTGATGTTTCTGAAAAAGTACACTTTCAGAATTGTGAAACTTCATCTTTTAGAACAGCACAAAGAATGTATCTTAAATTCATTTAGAATAAGTCATTATGACTAGTTTAAAATGATAAAAGAATTCGATTTCTTAATATATACGAACAAGCTTTCCCGTACATTTTCGAGCAATTAGATAAGAAAACTTTGTCAATGTAATATAAATATGTTTGTTCCATAGTCACATAGATAGATGTAGTTAAGATTTGCTTTTTGTTTAGCTAGACAGTATTTGTTCCTATTGGTCGTAACGCAAAAGAAATCTGATCAATTGAAGCGCCAATAGTTTCCAATATAATTTGTATCCAAATTACTTTTGTTTGTGCCGGAACACGAAAAAGATGTTCACAGACACGATCTATGTTGACAGGACAATCTAATGATATAGAAAAAAAAGGAACACAATATTCTTCAATAATCAAAATGATATCATACCAATGTTATGAATATCGAAAACAAGACTTTCAGGATTACCAAATAACATATTGATTAAAATTTTTGTCGACAGACCATTTTCATGTATTTTAAATTCAAATTCCATTTGATTAGTATTGATAAGTATTGAAAGATCGGTGAGAGACATTGGAACTATTTGACTCATACTGGCATTAATATTAGTACTTACTATCATACAATTGTTCACTTGTATACTTCCGTTTGGTAATATGAACCATCCGTCCAATGATGCACAGTCATCCATCTTGATATAAAAACTATCAACAGGTGAAAATGTTCCATTCGGAAGAATTGAATTTCGAATAGTAAAGAAGTCCAATGGTTTTATATTGAATATTGCTCCCATCAAATTGACATTCAAAAAGAAAACATTATTCAATTTCGTATGTAGAAGATTTGCAAAATTCAATATTGAACCATTAAAATACACAGTAAATATGATTGCATCTTGAAAATTGACTTGTTCCATATAACATGACATAAAATGTGTATTTAAAAAGCTTGATCGAGTGAGAGTAGCATGATTAAAATTTGAATCACGAAAAATGACATTTTCAAATATACAATTCGTTAATGATACGTATTGAAATTGAACACCCCAAAAGGTAGCATTCATAAAACGACATTCGTTGCCATCGACTTTGATTCCATTGAAATCAGCACCGAACCAAAGATGTTGTGTGTCATTCAATAAAAGTGAACTTTCTTTCAGAAATAAAAGAACATGTTTTTTACGTACAATATCGAGTTTTCGTAATGCTGTCAAAGTTTTTGTTCGAATATAAAGAAGTTTATCAGAATTATTATTGAGAGAACCACTATTTTTATCACGATAACGAGCTATATCATTAATATAATTGACAAAAACTGTTTCTTGTTGTTCATCTTGGGCTTGATTTTGACCTTGTTCACGTTCTTGACTAGCAATGCGACGATTTTGAAGTGTTGTCACTAGAGTGAAGACCGCTATAGAAATTGGCAAAATCAAAGATATAAGAATTTTGATGTTCTCAAGTTTGGTTCTTTTTATTCCACCGCTATTCTTATTGACAGGAAGAAAGCGACGAGAAGAAGAACGATAACGACGATAATATCGAAACATAGTAGATGATGATCAAAGTGAGTCTGTGAAATCGATACAAGAAGAATGAAAAATAGAAAGAATTTTTATTTTGATAAACAAACAGAAAAGAAAAATATATAGATTCAACTGGGAATGGAAGTTATATTTCTAAATGGTATTTAATCATAGAAAGTCAATAGAAATTTAAAAAACAAACAAACAAACGTTATTGAATAAACATTCCATACTCTCCTTTCTGTCTTCTAAATCAGTCATATTCATTGGTGAAAAAGAAGAAAATCACTATCATCAATAATTGGTTCATAAATAGTATTCGCTATATAGAAGCACGTCGTACACCTGGATTCGACATTAAAAAAAAAACTTGCAAAGATTGAATTCTATTCAAAAGGAAATGAATCTACTATGGTTAATGCCTATGTCTGAGAGTACGGATGATTATATTAAAGAAACAAAGAACACACGAATCACCATATTCTTTCGTAATTCAACTATGGTGCTCCAAACACACCTATTTTATCTTATGTGAGGCTTATGCATGAAAAGAGTGAAGTTGATTACAGTAGAAAAAAATTATGTTTACTCAATATTTTCATCTCGAATCATTCATCTAACAGCATGTTGACTATGGTGTGATACACACAGGCCTTAATGACTAATATGTGGGTCTCAATTTTATTACGAACAACATTCCTAAACTTTATAGTCTTACTAAAATTGTTCACTCAATCATTTGATTTGTGGTTGATACTATGCATTAAAACCGACTTAGCTATAGCATTATCAAACATTACTTTCTTAAATGTATTTTTAACTTTCAAAGTACTATGACAAAAGACGATATTTAACTCATGCTATAATTCGCAGAAATGATATATTTTGTAAAGATAATCTTCACAAGTATTTGCATCGAGAATGATGACAAGGTGTATCAAACGATGTATTTCTGCAATATTTGTCGTACATGGGTAAATTCATACAAATATGGCAGATGCACACTCAATCAATATTGATTATATTCACAACAATATTTTGCTTGAGTAACTCACACATAATCTTATTGATACAGCTTTAAGTCATGGGCAGATGAACTCAACAACGAGCACAACTCAGTTTGCGCTCAGCACACATTATTCTAGATTCAAAATGACTTTTTTTTTCATCCAATACATTATCACATCGACAATAGTCATTGGTATGGTGATATATTGAAAACAACGACCCTCAAAACGAACTTTTCTTGTGCATAATTCAATCTTATGATTTTTTTCTAATTATGAAAATATCATATAGTTTCATCTTGTCACAGGAACGGCATGATTGAATGTTAGGTTGGAATGAGAAACTTCAAACCTTAATTCGCTCTATTTCACTGTTGTTGTATGACCATTTTTTCATACAACTGATTAGATTTATAAGCAAAAATAAATTTGAAATTTCGAAAACTTTTCTAAATGCCGTCATTATTGACAATTTAATATTTGAACGTAAGAAAAATGACAAAGCAACAAACGAGTTGAGTCATTAATTAGTGTCTCACTTATCAAACTGTATTGGAGAAAGAGATCTTCAGTTTCAACAGACTTGAATAGGACGACATCTGAATTTCTTTGAAATATCATTGAACTTGATCCAGAGTTATGTTTGTATCACGGAATAATAACTATGATGCATAGCAGTATCCAACATCGAGTAACAAGTTATAATGATTCCAGATTTCAGCTTTTTTTACATTATCTAACGTCGATGACTTCAGTAGGAGCAATGCTCGTCAAGGAATGCTATGCTATTAGCCAAATTTTACATACGCGAAAACTTTTTGTCCAGCATAAGGTCGTTGACTTCAGTTTTAATATTTTGAAATTCGAAAGTTCAAAAAAATTAAAACTTGAATATTCCATTCCATTAATTCTAATAGAAATGTATATTAATTTAAAATTTTCATTGCTTGTTTGATGCTAATCAAGAATGAGAGTTGCGATAGAAGAAGAACTAAAGCCACCAAAGTCAAAATAATTCATAAACTGAATTAGGGAAGCTTGTTTGTGAGAAAGTGGAAACATCTGAACTTGCATAGAAACATTCATGATTATTTTGTGAAACAAGATTGTTCATCAATGTTAATTGTATAGCGAGAAACATAAATATTTAGAGTTCTCTTCACAAACATAACTGAAACTATAAGGCAAGTACCAGTCATGTCGGTGATCTATGTGACGTATTCAGTACAACATCATGGATATAAGAGATAATTTTAAGATAGTGTCAGTCATGTTTCTGAAGAAACGTGTAATAGTAATGTTGGATTTTACATTGATGATTATTTTGTTTATTCACCAAATTGAAGTCTTCGAAGCCCGGAAAGAACAACTTTGCTACTTTTGTGCTATAAACCTTCGCTCAGACTGCAACAGACACTAAATGACGTTTCACATTTTAAGCTTATGACGATTGTAATAAAAGATTATCGAAACAGATAATCGTATGATGAAGTTTTCTGTGTGAAATCTAGTTTATTCACAGTTGCAATTCAATTAAAACAATTTTGTCGAAAAAAATTGTCGATCACTATGAAATTTATCCTTAGATATCTAGAGATGATCTCGATAGAATGTGTGAGTTTAATCAAATAAAAAATCTTCCGAAAACTTGACATCTGATCTATAATTCAATCAGCAGTAGGCATTCTAAACCAATGGAAAGAAGAAGTTCCTTGACTGAGAATAACGAGTTCATTCACTGATGTATGGTCTCATTAAAAAAAGCAATACGAGCTATTACGGGGATAAGTATGACGAAGCATTGATAGAAATAGCATCACATCTAATCTTATCTGACTAATGTCAACGTCGATCGAATCGAATACTCTATGTTATCATACTGTGTCACGGCAACCCGAGAGAATCTAGGAAATTTATTCGAAAACTATTTCAATGGCATGAATGAAATTTTTGTCATTATTCTCGACAATATCTCAAATAGCTTAATTTATTTCGAAGATTTGTTCACACAAAATCATATTTTATCCGTAAATGATAAGACTATTAAAGATGTAAATTTTTGTTGTGTAGATCAGTTACGGTTGACTCTTTGATCTCTTGTTATGAAAAATAGCCAAGATCTTCATATGATAACAGTGATATGTGCTTTGTTTCCACATGTTTGTTGAACGAGGACGCGACGATAATGTGATAGAGTCAGTGCTGTTGATCATTTGTATCCATAGTTCAATTGTTAGTAATGAAATCATTCTGACTAAATCACGATCAATTTTTTCCGATCCATTAACATTTTGATATTTATTTTTTTTAAACTTTTGTATGCCCTGATTTTTCAGCTTTTTCTCAAATAGCAAGGAAATAACAGAGAAGAAATTTCAAAAATACGAAGAGAACAATTTTTTATGACCCACCCGTTAGTTATTATTTTATTTCCTATCTTCTATTATTTTGGTGATACCTAAAATATCTACTAGATTGATACTTGAGGCATAAAAATCCCTAGCGCACTTTATTATTATCGTTTGCTGAAAATTCTCTGGTCTATAATCGTAAACTTTTTTGCCGTTTCATCTCAAAATATTGTTAAGTTAATTAATTTTAAAGTCATTCTTGAATTAAGAATGCATGAATGATTATCTTATCGGCATCATTCTATTATTTAAAAGTCGTCGAGCAAAATAATTACACTTGTGGCTTAATTCACTAACGAATGTGTGTAAGACTTGAGTTGCTTTTGAACATTTTATTTGTATGTTATCAACATGGTATTCATCTTTAATTATCTTCTTTGATCTTGACCATATTCTCGTTGAAAAAGTACGCATAGAATTTCGATTATAAATTAAAATTACGCATACATCTGTTAGATCAACGCATCTAGTTATTAATAAAATATAGGTAATTTCATTACGAAATTACATATCAGATTTCTTAATTAGAAAAAAAAAAGATACGAAGAAAAGAATCATAATTTCATTTCAACCATTTTCTAACAAGAAATATGTCGAATACTTCAACTAATTCACCAAGTTCCATATCGTTAGATTTAATTCGAGCTTCAATTATTCTACCAGTAATGGAAAAATATATTACTGTTTTATTGTATATTGCTGGTTTTATTGGTTCTGTTTTGAATGTTTTTATGTTTCTTCAAAAACGATTTCGTTTTAAGTCATGTTCAACATATTTTATTTCAACTTCCATTACTGATTTTTGTATTATTAATACATTTATTTTAATTCAATTACTTAGTTTATTTAATCCAATAATGTTCACAGTCATTACAAAAACTAATATATGGTGTAAACTCTCAAATTATTTCTTTTTTCTTCTTCCTTGCCTTTCATCGACTTGTATAACATTTGCATCAATTGATCGTTTTTGTGCAAGTTCATCAAATAATAGACTACAAAAAGTCAATCAATTAAAAATTAGTCGTATTTTAGCTATAATTATTTTATTATTTTGGCTGTTATTTTCTTCACATATTTTAATATCATATAATCGTATTAAAATTACTCCAACAAGTTCAATACGATGTACACCTCAATTAAATCTTGCAGGTATTTTTATTTTTCTTGATGGATTTTTCTATGCCATTTTTAACGGTATTATTGTACCTTTATTTTTAATTATATTTGGTTTATTAATATTTCGAAATATAAGATTTATTTCTCACCGAACTTATCCACAACAATTATCAATTAATTCACTTTCACATCGAAGTAATCAACATCTAATGAAAATGCTTTTATTTCAAGTTAGTGTAACAGTTATTTTAAACATACCATATATTATTTATTATCTCTATGGAATTTATAATCCAGCGCCTAGTGAACCATTATGTTTATTAATTTATAGAATATTTTCTTACATTGCACGATGGTTATGGTTTATGAATTATTGTAAAACTTTTTATATAAATATAATATCAAGTAAAACATTTCGAAATATTCTTAAACGAAGATTTGTTTATATTATTCAACAATCAAAAAATATTATTTTTCAATAAACAAG